GTGCTAAATCTTGCTAGAGGGGGTTTTCTTCGGTGCTTTCCGAAGTATTATTATCTCCCATGCTGGAATCACCGTATTTATTTTGGCGGGATTTTGAGCGGCGTCGCTGACGCTGGCGCTTAGGCTGTTTCTTGGAGGGGTCATCCTCCGTTGTTCCATCGCCATCTCCCTCTTTTGGGGTGTCCACCATGTATATGTCATATGACGAGGTGGCTTTCCAGGGCCTAGTAGGCCCTGGTTCTTATCATCTCCTTCATCGGTGTCCATACCGTCGATGTCTTCGGAGTCGAAGTCGAGCATGCCGGTTAAGTCGTCGACAGTGGCTACAAAGTGGGTGGTGGGTGGGCTTTGAATTTCTTCGTCGTCCGTACCCTAACCTTGCTGACTGTAGTCCGGCCAGGGCTCTCCTGATAAAGAGAGAGACTTCAGTGACTTCAGGATATCGCCGAAAGGCGAGTGCTGAAAGATGTCCGCGGCAGTGAACTCCATGATCGGCGCCCAATCGGATTCGATCGGCAGGGGCGCGGAGGGTTCGGAGTCCGGCTCCTTGGAGTCACGAGTCTCGCAGAGTACGGGGCTGGTGTTCGGCTCAATCGCCGTTGGGGTCGCAGCCCCCGAGGTGGTGTCCAACCGCCCATCCTCGATCGGCGCAGTTGGCTCCGAATTGAGGGTCGGAGCTGATGCGGGTGCGGCCTCCAGGGCACTGTCCGACGGCAGAGCTAGATCATGCTCGTCGTGACAGTGCGGCATGCTCGGCAGTGGCTTGAATCCGTCGAAGATCAAGTCCCCGCGGATGTCAGCCGTGTAGTTTAAACTTCCAAATCTGACATGATGGCCAGGGGCGTAGCTTTCGATCTGCTCCAGACGGCCGAGCGAATCGGCCCGCAGTGTGAAGCCGCCGAAGACGAAGATCTATCCGGGGAGGAAGGTCTCTCCCTGGACTACATCGCTATTGATGATCGTAGGAGCCATCGAGCCTGACGGCGATGACATAGAGGAACTCTCAATGAAAGCACCAATGTCGATGTTAAAACCGGCGGATCTCGGGTAGGGGGTCCCGAACTGCGCATCTAGGCCGGATGGTAACAGGAGGCAAGGGACATGAAGTTTTACCCAGGTTCGGGCCCTCTCGATGGAGGTAAAACCCTACGTCCTGCTTGATTAGTATTGATGATATGGGTAGTACAAGAGTAGATCTACCACGAGATCGGAGAGGCTAAACCCTAGAAGCTAGCCTATGGTATGATTGTTGATGTGTATGTTGTCCTACGGACTAAAACCCTCCGGTTTATATAGACACCGGAGAGGGTTGGGGTTACACAAAGTCGGTTACAATGGTAAGAGATCTTCATATCCGTATCGCCAAGCTTGCCTTCCACGCCAAGGAAAGTCCCTTCCGGACATGGGACGGAGTCTTCAATCTTGTATCTTCACAGTCCAGGAGTCCGGCTGAAGGTATAGTCCGGCCATCCGGACACCCCCTAATCCAGGACTCCCTCAGAAGGTGTCGCCGCGCCCGCCCGCCCGTGACGCACCGCCCGTGAGGAATCAATGGCAAGGCTGACTGGCGGCAGTCTTGCCATTGATTCCCCGTAGGCAACTGAGGCGTTCTGGGAAAGACAAGGCGCGTGCCTCTGACTCGGCGGGCTCGCGGCTCTTTCGCGTCAAAACCGCTCGTCCCGGCGCCCCCGGGCGTCCCAAGCACACTAGGTTTGGCCCAAACCGGTGAAAAACCGGTTCGTGGGGGCGCGATTGGGCCGATTTTTGTGTGCCGGCGCATAAAAACTCCTGTGAAGGACCTGTTGGGGGCGCGGTTGGAGATGCTCTTACACCGATCGGTTTGCAGCAAATTGGTAACCACGCACGTCCAGCAATTATTCGCACAAACAAGGTGATTGATTTCCTTCCAAAAGTTGACGGCATCTCCAACTCCAACACGGCTTCCATTTCTAAGGGCAGGTATAATGGTGCTATCTTAGGAATGCCACGTAGGATAAATGATGAGGTGGAGGAGAGAGAACTCATAAGAGAAGGCTTGTCTTCTCTTATTTTAAGATAAGACAAGAGATGATCTCTTAGCACAATATGTCTCATCATATTTTTAGGAATTGCTAGTTATTAAAGATAAGGCTAAGAGATGATCCATTGTAGACGTTTTTCTTTGTCATCTCTAAATTTCATGCAAAACTTAAGATAAGACTATCTTATAAACCATTGTACATGCCCTAATGGTACGCCTTCTTCTTATTATTATATTTCCCCTTCCTTCAGGCTCAACCAGAGAAAAAAACAGAGCACCCGCCTCCGCGGCCGACAACCAGGATGCAGCCGCCGCTTGGCATGAAGACGAAAGGGCGCCAACGCCGTGAGAACCGGCTTGTCGAGGACAGGGAGTCCCGGCAGGTGACCTTCTCCAAGCACAAGTCCGGGCTCTGGAAGAAGGCCTCCGAGCTCGCCCTGCTCTGCCGCGCCAGCCTCGTCGTCGTCGTCTTCTCCGAGGCCGGCAAAGGGTTCGCGTTAGGCAACCCCTCCACCGACGTCGTCCTGGCCTACGTCGGCTACGATGACGCGATGTTCATCCTGCTGCCGCTTCCACTGACGACGTGGAGTGGGAGGCCCTGGAGGCGCTGTGCCGGGAGACGGAGAAGAAAGGCGTGGAGGTGGCCGCGGAGGCCGCGCGGATGAGCGCCGTCGGGTAGAAGGTGGTGGACGTGCAGACGCAGGCGGGGAGGCGGTTCTGGTAGGAGGCGGACATGTCTCCTACGCTTGTATTGGAAAGCAAAATATTATCTGCATGTGATATTCTCTTGACAATGGAGTTTTCATCCGTCCATTATGAAATACATGATAAATATTTTAAATTTGCATTATTTTTCAATATATAATGATCTTCTTTTCGGCACACAATGACCATTTTCAAATACGCACCATTTATTTAAAATACAGATGACCATTGAAAAATGATGAACATGTTTTAAACAGTTAAAGTATTTTTGAAATAAACAAACAAGATTTCTTAATATAATGTGATGAACAGTTTTTAAAATGCAATGAATATTTTTTAAATACATGATGTACTATTTATAAATACATCCCGAATATCTTCAGAAATATGTGATGACCATTTTTTCAACACACTAAACATTTTTTAAATATGTGATGAACATTTTTTAAAACTTGATCAACAAATATATAAGAGCCGTGTGTATATTGAAATAAAGAGAAAAAATATAAAGAAAAGAGTAAAAAAGAAATATCTATTTAAAATAGATGAATAGGGAAATTATGAAAGAACAAATAAAGAGAAATAAAAAGAAAATAAAATGGGAAATAAATTTAAAATAAAATGAGTATATTTTTTAGAAAATAAAATTGAAAAAAAGGATCAACAATAATGGGGAAAACAATCAATGTACCAAGAAGAAATAAACGCAGAAAAGCCAAGAAATTCACGGTCCATTCTGAGAGTGACCTGTGCACATGCAGAAGAATAAATTAGTAGATTGTGCCGACCCAAATCGGAGCTCGTTTGTATGGTGCGACTAAGGCAACCTTTGTTTGTAGGAATTTTACAATTATGAACTTTTTTTAAATACACATCAAATATTTTCTTATTACATGATTAACATTTTTAATAGATGGTTAGAGTTTTTAAAAATACAAAGTGACAAAGATTAAATAAGTAATAAACATTTTATAGTATATGATGAACATTTTATATTACACTAACACAGTTAACACATTCAAAAATACACAAAGAATACATTTTCAAATATGTTATGAACACTTTTTAAAATGTGAATATTTTTTAAATACACGATGTACTATTTTGAAATACACCCCGAACATCTTCAAAATATCCAACGAACATTTTTTTTGGATGCGCCAAACACTTTCTTAAAGCTGATGAACAAAGAAATTAGAGTCATATATATTGGAGTAAAGATAAGAAATATAAACGAAAAGGTAAAAAAGGTAAATCTACTTTAAAAAAGGTGAACAAGAAAATAAAATAAAAACAAAATATGATAAAGGAACAAGAAAATAAAAAGGTTGTCGTGGAAGACTGAAAGCTAGAGCTATATTTTCCTTCTATTTGTTTGTTTGGGCAGTTATATTTAGCGCTCGTGACGATTCATCGGCCAGTCGCAATGGGCATGAATCCTATTCGGCGCCCGATACACCGGTTGAAGGCATCGCTACAGACAGGCACACACCCCCGCCCCCACCTCCTTCAATGCTGCATGGGCCGGCCCATTAAAAGGTATACAGGGATTTCAATCACTGGTTGACGCTTTCTGAAGCTTCCTAGCCGGTTTTAAAAACTGTTAATCATGTACTTAGAAAATTTAAATGTATATATAAAAAATGCACTTGATGTATGCAAAAAAAAAAACTGTACAATGTGTATACAAAAAATAGAAATAAGAGAATATGTTTTAAAAAATGTTAATTATGTTTTAAAAGAATGTTAAACATGTGTAGAAAATATGTTTATGGTGTATAAAGAAAATGTAGAATGTCTATAGAAAAAGTTGTGTCTACCGGGGGGGCCAACTTGGCCCGGGACGAAGGAGAAGCCTTAAGGAAGCGCTGGAGACCTTCGTGCCCAAGACAAGGGCGGCGATGCCCCAAATCGAATCTACTGGTGTGTAAACATTGTCAAATCTCATCTAGATGTGATTTGGCAAATCTGATAAGATTTAACTGAAGTCAAACTTCGTAAAGTTTGACTAATTTTATATTAAATAAATACCAACATTCGCAACACAAAATCAGTAGGCATCATTAGATGCATCACAAATTTAATTTTTATATTATATAATTTTAATTTTGACTTTAGACAGTTCTCGTATGCAGAGAAAATAAGATCACACTGCACAACACCGAGTCAATGACCGGACACACACTACAGACAAGACAAAGTACAAAGACGCTTATTCGCGGCCACTTCCCCAACGCCCGGCATGCGGCTCTCCTGGCCCATTGGTCGGCTCAGCTTAACGTTCGCTGCAACGGCGCGTTAGCTCGTCGACAAACTCATCGAAGCTCTGCTGCGATGACCCACCGTGCGTCGTGGCGGCCTCGAGTGTCGCCCTCACATTCTTCACCGCCTCCCGGAGCTTCTCACCCTCTTTCCCAGACATGATGCCCTCGATCCTCGCCCTCACCTCATCCGCGAACACCGCGCCACGGTCCCCGATGGGCATGCCGACGCGCCACTCCCGCACGACGAGCCGCCGGTTAGTGAATTGGTCGGTGAGCAGCGGGAAGCAGAGCATGGGCACTCCAGCCCACACACTCTCCAGCACAGAGTTCCACCCGCAGTGCGTGAGGAAGCCACCCAGCGCGGTGTGCGAGAGCACCTCCACCTGGCAGCACCAAGGCACCACCAGGCCACGCCCGGTGGACGCGGCCACGAACCCCTCGGGCAGCGGGTTCGGGTCGTCGGAGCTGACGATGTCTGGCCGCATCACCCACAGAAACCTCGTACCGCTGGCCAGGACTCCCCCAGCGATCTCGTGCAGCTCTTGCTTGGTGACGTGCGCGTAGCTGCCAAAGGAGATGTAGAGCACGGACCCCGGCGGTTGTTCGTCCAGCCAGTGGGAGCAGTCGGACTCGGCCCACATGGAGGTGGCGACGGTGCTGCGGGCGAAGCCGGCGGGGAAGATGGGGCCGACGGCGTAGAAGGGTTTCTCGACGCGGAGGGCGGCGATGGTGGACGGCTCCAGCTCCTCCACGGTGTTGCAGAGAATGTAGTCGGCGTCGCGCGCCTCGTCGAAGGCCTTGAAGATGATGCGGTGCACCACGCTGGTGGTGTCCGTCTCCTGGAGGTACGACATGAGCTCGTGCGGCTCGATCGCCGGCACGCCAGGGATGTAGGTGATCGTGTCCTTCCGAGGCTCTGCAAAAAAGGAAACTTCAAAATCGATGGCATGGCAAACCATTTTGCAGCAAACAAATTTACTACTACTCCCTCACTTTAGTGATCTGAACACTCTTATTATTTTTTCGGCAAAAATATTAGTGGCACTCTGTTGCATTGAAACATAAGCATATTGGAGTGGATTCCAAAAATCGTATTTTTCACCGTTGCAACCGAAGTGGCCGTTGTTGGTGAGCAGGTGGACGTGGTAGTAGAGGTTGAAGATGAGCGCGGGCTCGGTCCAGAAGGACACGTACGCGATGCCGAACTTGCTGGCCAGCGTCGCCGGCCACACGAAGAAGGTGTCGGCGACGAGGCACGTCGCGGCCGGGTCGACCACGACGCGGGCGAGCACCTCCTCGACGTGGCCGGAGTGCGCGTGGAGCAGCGAGCCCATGAACTCGTCGTGATGCAGCGACCGGTCGAACCCCACGGGGAGGCCGTCGCTGATAAGCTCGTAGCGCACGTCCATCCCCGACGCGCGCGCGCCGGCGAAGAAGTCGTAGCCGGCCGGGTCGACGCCGAGAGCGCGCGCCGTCTGGTCGTGCACGGCCTCCGTGTTGACGACCGTGACGGCGAAGCCCCGCGCCGCCAGCCGCAGCGCGAGGTGCGTGACGGGGATGACATGGCCCTGCAGCGGGTACACCACCACCACCGCGTGCGGCTTGGCCTTGCCGCCGCCGCTCGTGGCTCCTACGCCGGCCTCCTTTTGCGCCATGATCACGTACCTCGAGCTAGCTAGTTCCTCTGGTTTCCTGCGAACCGTCGCTGGCACTTGACTTGCTATATGACACCGTAGTGGGCATCGGTGTGACCCCATGGTAATGGTACGTACTATAGCTTATGAAACCGTCGTTATCTCTGTAGCCGCCGGCCTGCGTCGGATTCGTGCTCATGAAATTTGTTGCCAACGTTTAGTCAAAATTTGTGTACTTCGTTAATCTGGTGCGCGCACACGCACACGCATTGTCCGTAGTGAGACGAATGGTGTGATTACACGATGGCGCGGCTTACGAGCTGCCACCATATCTGGCGTTTTTTGTACGGGGGATGAGTGCGCAGGTGATGTAAGCTGACGATGATCTCGATGGAGAAGTCGCCTTTCGTTTAGACCGTACATGCAAGAGTATCTAGAACCGAACCTCTGGAAACCCCGCTATACATCCGGCCGGGTCATTGCCCAGACACGAAATTATTACCCAATCCGATTTCTTAGACTAGCCATAGTGGAAGTAACTTTAACACTAACATCAAGTCCAACTCAGCAAATTTGCTTATGTGGTAATGAGTTAATGAGAAGAGAGATAGTTATAGTAACTTAGCTAGTTACTGGAACATCACATGTCCCAATACAATATGAGTCTATAATATAATAAATGAATCTTTGCATGTTACCACCCTTAAGTTACTACCTACTATGAAGGTAGTAACATAGTCTAGGTCATCTCAAACACGGACCGCATCACTCCGTGAACGGAGGGACTATTCCGCGCCCCCGCGAACACGGATAAGGAGCCGTCCATTCAACTAACCTCATACATTCGGCCATTTTTTTTTATATCAGCATGCTTAAATAGCCGCATATATAGTTTCAATTTAGCTAAAATAGTTCAAATGTAGCAGTAGTTCTAATTTAAAAAATGTAAACATTACGCCCAATATTGTTATCCCTTTAACCGACCATAGACGATCAATCAAATCTTTTTTAGTTGTTCGATGCCGAATTTGTTGATGCATTTGAACAATCTCTTCAAATGTAACGGTATTCTGGTCTAGAAGTTCGATAAAATCACCCATGTTCTTAGATACAAGTTCTACGACAGCATCGTCACCCTCATCCTCCACGATCATGTTGTGCATTGTCACACAACAGGTCATCGCCTCCCACCAGGTCTCTGGATCCCATTATTTAGAAGGTCCACGAACAACTAGAAAACATGCCTGCAGAACTCCAAATGTCCACGAGTGTCTTTTCTTCTTCTTTTTTTTCTTGACGTGCAGGTAAGTTGCTTGGAATGGGACGGGTGACCAGTCGACTGAAAATGAATTAGGGCCACTCAACTTGTTTTTAGCTATCCGATGCAGAACCAACAGCCAGAACCCGAATCATTTTTTTTCTATTTTTTTTCTACACCTTCAAATCGGTTTTTCTGTTCATCTTCTAGCCCGAACCCCGAGCTACCACCGGCCTAACCGCCTGACACCGCCGCCCGTGGCCGGCGGCGCTCCCGCGCCAACCTCTCCGCCCCACCTTTCCCCAGCCATCACCCGGTGAGCCTGAACTCCTGCTGCACCCTGCACCCCTAGGATAGACACAGAGGCTCATGCTTCCGTGGCAGGCCGGCGGCTGCTCCTTCCTTCGCTCTCTCTGGCGGTTGTTGCTTTCTTCCTCCGAAATTGACTGACCCAAATATCATATTCAGGTGACTGACATCCAGCTAAACTGGCTTGGAATTTGTATGGTAATAAGTTGATTTTTTTTAAGTCGCCTGATCCATATCCAATGGCTGTTGTGCTCTCTCCTTCCTCCAGCTGGGCAGCTACCTTCTTCTGAAGTAAACTGTCGAGTGTCGAGTCTCCCGTGCAGTTGGATACTTTTCGTGTTGGGACCAAGTCGGGTGGCAAAATGGAATTGGTATTTTCCACACACTGACACACACACACAAGAAGCCAACAAGAAGGAAAAGGAAACGCCATCGCTGTGCCTCCTAAGCGATTGGGGGACACTTCTCCTGTCCGTATACACGATTATGGACCAGCCAGGGACACACGTTCCAGGTAAGAAACAGCGATGGCTGGAAGGAAAGGAGCAAGAAGCCACTGCAAATATGTGATGCTGCTACGATCGATCGACCCCCAATGGATTCCAGTAATTAACATGCAGAAAACTATGAACTCCTGACGCATGATTTGCAACGTCGTCATGCATGGTGCATCTCAAGATATGAGCGTGTGGTAATTTGTGGTAGTACCTTTGCATTTGAAGTGGCCATGCTCGGCGAGCAGGTCCATGTGGTAGTAGAGGGCGAAGATGAGCGCCGGCTCCGTCCAGAAGGAGACGTAGGGCACGCCGAGCGCCCTGGCCAGCGTCGCCGGCCACACGAAGAACGTGTCGGCAACGAGGCAGGTGGACGCCGGGTCCAGGACGACGCGGCGGAGCAGCTCCTCCACGTGCGCCGGGAGCACGTGCAGCACGCCCTCCATGTACTGGTCGTGGTTCAGCGACCGGTCGAAGCCCAGCGGGAAGCCGTCGCTCACCAGCTCGTACCGCACGTCCTCCGACCCGCGCGCGCCGGCGAAGATGTCGCAGCCCCGCCGGTCGACGCCCAGGGCGCGCGCGGCCTGCTGGTGCACCGACTCCGTGTTGACGAAGGTGACGGTGAACCCGCGCGCCGCCAGCCGCAGGGCGAGGTGCGCCGCCGGGATCACGTGGCCCTGGAGCGGGTACGGTATCACCACGGCGTGCGGCTTCGGCTTCGTCTGGCCGCCGGTGCCGTCTGCCGCCATGTGGCCGGCCGGCTACGGCTGCTTCAGCGAGGGCGAGTGCGTGTGCGTGTGCGCTGGGCTATAGACGTAGTGTCACACTGTGAGTGAGATCGATAGGGAGGAAGAACGAATGGTAAGCAAGTGTGTAGGGACGGAGCGGGAGGTTGAGCGGTGGACGTGCGCTCGTACTACGCAGGTGGGCGTCCCCGCGGTCGATTCATTTGGCCATTTGGGGAAGAGTGTACAAAGTGGCGGGGCTCCACGAAGTAGACGTACGTAGCTTTTTTCTCTTCTTCTTTTTCTTTTTGAGGGGATGAAGTAGACGTTGCTTTTTTTTCTGAGACAATTCGCAAAGCTTTATTACGTCGTCACCAATTGGACCGGGACGAAAGAGAGGTTTTCGGGGTGACCCGACTGATGAAGCTATGTACCTAGGGTAGGGTCATGGCCTGTCCAGCATATCCTCTCCCCCCCCCAGGACATCTTTACAAAAAATCAGAAGCAGTCGAAGAGAAATCATCATCCACTCGACCGCGGAGATGCGCTCACTCGACCACGTTGAAGACACTCGACCACCAGAAGATGAGGAACCCTCCACTCTGCAACGGTTAGGACTTAAACCATAGCATTATGAACATTTATGACATTTTACTGTAGACGTTACCAGTAACGCCTTCCTTTATGAGCATTGAACCCTAAGTAACGGAGGGGAGCTGGGGTCCTGGCACACTCTATATAAGCCACCCCCTCCTCTGGGACAAGGGTTCGCACTTTTGTAAACTCACACACACATATAATCCAGTCGACCGCCTCAGGGCACCGAGACGTAGGGCTGTTACTTCCTCGGAGAAGGGCCTGAACTCGTAAAACTCGTGTGTACAACTACTCCATAGCTAGGATCTTGCCTCCTCATACCTACCCCCCATTCTACTGTCAGTCTTAGATCCACGACACTGACCAGACACGGCGGTCGACCCCAAGTTTCAATGCATGCTTTGCTAAATTGTGAGCCTCCACACTGAAGCTCCTAAACTCATGAACGAAATTACAAGAATTAAATCTACTAGAGTAGTCTATGATTTCATGCATGATCGCTTCATATTCTGCTCTGGTCTTTCCCTTAATACTATCTATCACCTCCTTGTTGTCGGAGGCAACATGGATCGATTGAAAATGGAGATCTTTCGACAGTGCCAACGCCTCCCTCACTGCCAAAGCTTCTAAGGTTGTAGGGTTGGTGATCGCTGTGAACCCCAGCGTTGACGCCCCCAAGAACGCTCCGGACAAATCTCTGGCTATTGCTGCAATGGTTCCTACTCCCCGCCTCTCTGCAACTGCTGCATCGACATTGATCTTCGGCATATTGTGCGGCGGCTTCTGCCATTGCTTCGGTCTCTGTGTCTGATCGGGTGTTCTCATCATCGGAACCTTTGACTGGGACTGGAACTCGGCGATATATCATTGGATGAATAGATGTGTAGACAAAGGAGATTGGCGGATATCCTCATAGACCGCTTTTGTGACGCCCCTGATTCAATGGTACACTAATCATACACGCAAGCATGTACGATTAAGATCAGGGACTCACGTGAAGATATCACAACACAACTCTACAAATAAAATAAGTCATACAAGCATCATATTACAAGCTAGGGGCCTCGAGGGCTCGAATACAAGATCTCGATCATAGGCGAGTCAGCGGAAGCAACAATATCTGAGTACAGACATAAGTTAAACAAGTTTACCTTAAGAAGGCTAGCACAAACTGGGATACATATCGAAAGAGGCGCTGGTCTCCTGTCTGGGATCCTCCTAAACTACTCCTGGTCGTCGTCAGCGGCCTGCACGTAGTAGTAGGCACCTCCAGTGTAGTAGGAGTCGTCGTTGACGGTGGCATCTGGCTCCTGGACTCCATCGTCTGGTCGCAACAATCGGATATAGAAAGGGGGAGCAAAGCAACCGTGAGTACTCATCCAAAGTACTCGCAAGCAAGGAGCTACACTACATATGTATGCATTGGTATCAAATGAAAAAAGGATAGCATATGTGATCTGAACTGCAGAATGCCGGAATAAGAGGGGGATAGCTAGTCCTGTCGAAGACTACGCTTCTGGCAACCTCCATCTTGCAGCATGTAGAAGAGAGTAGATGGTAAGTTCACCAACTATCATCGCATACCATAATCCTACCTAGTGATCCTCCCCTCGTCATCCAGTGAGAGAGCGATCACCG